CAGTTTTAACTCCTTTATATTATTTTATTAAAATACCCTGAAGTAATCAAATAGCCATGTGGTGTGTATATATAGGTAATAATTAGTTACGTGAGCTATGACTTTGTCATTAATTCCACTTTTTAATTGATTTATAAAAGGTATATCTTATTTAAAATATCTTACTCAAACTATTCTCAATCATAGCACCTGCCTGTGACTTGGGAAATCACAGAAGAGTGCAAGCAAAATATTAACCCTTTTAAATAATATATAAAATTCCATACTAACTTATTAACAGTGGTACTGAGCACTCATTCATCTGGGAAGGTTTTAGCATAATAGTTTCATCAAATATGAAGTGTGGTGGGTTTTTTCAAAAAAAAAAAATCTCAGTTTCCTTTTTGGCTAAAATGTAGCCATATTTGTTAAGAGTAAGGAAATCTTTGTGTGCATCTGTGAGAGATATTCCATGAAACGGATTAGAAAACAAATACCAAACAAATGTACTAGCTATAAACTACATTCAAATTTCTCAAATACTTCTCTGTAGTTCAGTTAAATTTTCTTGTAAAGTGAGGTGTTGGGTTTTTTCTACTTTCTAGGGCAATAATGGTGAAATAGAGTTTCTGCGTTTAGACAATACTAATTTCTGCATTTCAGAAGAGTATCTAACTCACACACCCAGAAGACTAACTATAATTTAATTGTATAATAACTGAATTTGGGACATACTTTCAAAATGAATGAATATAAAGCAACTTCTTCCCCATTCTTGTTTTTTCCTTTACTGGCATCTACATTTGAAATTTTCAGGCTCTCCAAGAAGATCACCAACAATATTGTGTATTTTCTACCTCGGAATGCTGACATTGACCAGGTGTGTTACTGGATAAGGGCTTGGTAATTACAAAAAGCTCAGCTGGCTTAAAACATAGGTATTATAAGCACAAACTTAAGACTTTTAAGTCTGTTCAGCTGAATGTGGGGGTCTTTTTTGTTTTAAGTTTGAACCTTAAGTGATTTCTGTGTTTGCAGTACTTTTGATATATTTAGAAATGGGAGTAGTAGATTATTTCCATGATTTTGATAACTGTTCCTTCATAAAACAACAGATTGGAGGTTCTTATAGAAGATCCAAAGCCAGTACATTTCTTGAGTGCCAGACAGATACATCATTATAAAAGAAGAAAAAAAAAGTATTTTAGCCAGGTCTTACTATCTGATAAGTTGCTGAGTCCTAAACTTTCACAGCTTTCAGTTTATGAAGGAGTTGCAGAAAATCACTGTACGGCCTGCAATCACTACTATCACTGATTAGTAGATCAGAGACAAATGTTATGCCACCAGAGGTGGTACTGATGCTGTTCACACAAGTGTCTGGTTCCATATGGGCTGCTTGCATTGCAGTGATTAGATAGATGCATCACTGACTTGGTAAACACACAATTAGTTTCAATTGTGTGGGGTTTTTTGTATTAGAGGTTTTTGTTAGAATTTTCTTTTTTAAGCAATTAGATGACTGTAACAATTCCCCTGAGTGTCTGGTTTAATTTCCTCTGTGTATTTTCTATGTTAATTATGTCTTGTAGCTTTTTGCAAAGAAGGGAGCAGTGAGATGTTCTTCTCACCTGCAACATGCCACAGAACTTCCCAGGGTTATTTCCTGCTTTTCCAAAAGCTGTGTCTGACTTAGAGGAGGCAAGGTCTCAAGCCACATGGTGGCTTGCAGAACCGTTGGTGGCAAACAGCTGGCTTGAGAAACAGGCTGAAATTCACATGGCCTGAGTATTAGCACGCTATGAGCCTGCGTTGTGCACAGCACCATTTGTACGGCAGGTGGTGATTCAATTGTGTTTTGCATTTCAGGCTGGTGAAATGTCAGTGGCTTATGAATCTTTGAACAGTGACCTTGATTTTAGGCAGAGTTTCTCTAGTTTCAACTTCTAACCACTGTATTTTATCAAATGTTTGATTCCCACGATGAAGAATGACCTTACCAGGTTTCTGCTCTGCTCATGAGCACTTTTTACTGGATTTATAAATGGGCAAAGGCATCTACATTTCACTTACGTTCCCACAAAAGTATCTAAGAGTACTATCCACAGGCTTGCACCTATTCATACAGAAGAGCTTGGCACCTCTACGTGGTTGAGTTAGGTGTCTTGCCACCTCTACATGTTGGTCCAGTTGGCTCTGAATGTTGTTGATGTGCTCTAGGTGTTCCTTGATGTACATCCATGGGTTTGCCTTTACACAAATGGCTGAAGAGTACTTGCTGTTGCTCAAAAACATGGCTTTGTGGTCACAGGTTAGTTGTTAAAAGCATGTGGCTGGAGGTCTGGGTTCAGTTCAGTCATACAGGCTATGGGCTACTCTCAAGAAGAGAAATCAGCTCCTCATGCCTTTCTCTAGAGATTGTGCCAGTATAAGAAAAAAAAAAACGTAGAAGTTGATGATCTGAGAGCAGGGAAAGAGAATGTGAATGTAGCCTACTGTTTAGGGAAATGTGGTCTTAATCCTGTGTGGACAAAGGTGTGTCAAACATGACCATCGCAAACATGACCTTAGCGGATACTCTGGTCCATAGGAGACTGGTTATGGGTTTGGCTGTCATCATCTCTGGCTGTATTTAAGAATGAAGTTTCTGAATTTACTGCCATTACACTTCCAGGGCTATGAATCTCCAGAAAAAAAGAAGATTTATCATTGAATTTCCTTAATGTTTAGTGTAGGCAGTTGACTTCTCAGTTTGCTCATGGTTTTGCCCACAGTTCTCATCCATCTTACTTTTCTCATGGACCAGATAGGGTGGCTTCTGCTGTAGCAACTGCCTTGGCAAGGGCCTGTGGACACCACTGCTAGGGTGTAGTGATGTAGCTTGGCTTGTGAATGTAGTCCATAAACTCTAGGGGCCTATAAAAGCTTGATGAAGTAAATCTTAAACATTTTTTGCAGGAGATTAATACCTGAAAACTGAATAACTTGGATAAGGCAATATTTGCTGAACAGATTATCTGATGCCTTAGATGTGAATGGAAACTTAAAAACCTAAGTTTGATTTGTGATGACATTGCTCGGGCATGTAAGATTTGCTGCTTCTGTGTCCTCAAAAATTAACTCTGTATGCACATACACATATGTAAGGCTTTCAGAGATTGCTTAGCTCCTAGAATAGGTGGTCTAACATGCTTAACACGTAAGGTGGCAGTTGTTAAAACTTAAGTACTCTGCCTCTTGTCTCTTGTTGACAGGCTTGAATCTACAACCGAGGTGTGCTTGTGTGCTTTGTCAATTAAAATTGATTTAGAAGCTGACTTAATTGCCATTGCAAACCGCCATGAAGATGTTTATACTGACTGTAATCCAGTGTATCAATGCAAGTTTGCTTGTCTGACAGTGGATCTCAAGCAGAAATGGAAATAAATGCCCAGCAGTTAGAAGCAACCTTACAATAAAAATACTGTTTAACCTTTAGTTAAGGTGATGCAAATTTAGTGGAAAATACGTGCTTCTTTTTACAGTTAGATAGCTAACATAGAATAGGGATCCTGCTGCTGGTGTGAAAGCAGGTGGTAGGTGACCTTGACCTAGCTGTGTCGGAGGACTCGATGTTCATTTCCTTATTGGTAGACAAGACATCCAACCTTGTTCCACATGATTTTATTGCAAAAACAGTGCTTATTATTTATGCAGGCACGGCCTTTTCTGTATAGCGTTAGTCTTGCACAGAGAGATGGGGTTCTTTGAATTCCCTTACGAAATTCATGTGAGTTTAGGTGGAAGAGGAGAAATGAACTTCTGTACTTCTGCCTCGAGAGGGAGCAGCGAACCAGTGGAATATGGTTGGTGTATTTACAAGAAATGTGAAACATTTCCCTTAATTGCATCAAATCTCCTTGTTTACAAGCATGTACTTGTTCCAAATTTTGTAAGGTATATTAGGTCCATTTTTAGGTCAAATCAATCTTTCAAAATATTCTTTCTAGTTAAGGAATAATCAGGAATTATTATATATATGTGTGTGTGCACATACATAAAAAATACATTGTTTTATTAATAGTGCCTATTATGTAGCTCATGTGTGACACCCTTGTTGACACCCATCTCTTTGCAGCATCTTTACATCTGAGTCTCTTCTTTCTTTAAGTTTTTTTCATATCTTAAAAAAAAAAAAAAAAAAAAAAAAAAAAAAAAAAAGAAAAAAGAGGGGGAGTTGTGGAAACTACCAGTCAGAAGTATATTAATACTGCTTCAGTTCTGGGGGGCTAAACTTGTATTTGGCTGCCAGTGGTATTTTTGAACAGCAAACCGAAAAGGTTGACCTACTTAGAATTCCCGCAAAGTAGGAAAGAATTAGAAATCACTGTTTCAGATAGGTTTGCATATTTATATCAAAATTATACCCCAGCGAAATGAAGTGAAAACACCTGATAAATACTTGGGTAGTTGAAAACTGTTCTTGTCTTCTGTGAGTAGAATTAATGGTACTAATTTAAGCTGATATTATTTAAAAAAAAAAAAAGTGAATATGCATGCCTTGGCAAAATTTGGATGAAAGTAAATTTCTTCCCCTTGCTCTGCTGTTGATTGACTCTAGTGGCAGCAGGGAACCTGCAGTCAGGGAATGCTCAACCTTCCCCAGCATCCTTCTCCTTCTTGGCTGGTTCATTTCCACCAGATCAAGGGGAAGAAAGGTGATATCTGCAGGAGATCCTATATTTAGGTCTTAATACTCCAGCAAAATGTGAGAGAGACCTCCACGAGTGACTTGAGAAGCAATCTTGTTGAGACAGAATGATTAAATGTTGTTTATGAAGTGTTTAGCAAGCTGTGCTCTGCCTCATTGTGCAGGGTGGGAAGTGCGTACTCACCTCAGGGACCAGGACTCATCCCAAGTAGCCCAATCTCTTGCACGGACTGTTTTCTGTACCAGATAATACTTCTGTACCTTAATAGTTGCAGCAAAGGAGGAGGAACCTGGGATTTGTTGCTGTGGGACCTTCTTCCTAATGGTGAGATAGCTTCTTTTCACCTCATTGCAGAAGGCATGCTCAGCTACATGAGATACCAAAACATACCCTCCCAAGTGTTCACATACTAACATAGTGATGCTCATGACTCTTCTTGTAAGCCGTGTGAGTGCTGCCACTGAGGTATTGTTCTCTCACCGGTGGTCAGAATGGAGTCAGGCTGCATGATGGCTCCCCCCAATAAACTGATGAGCCTAAAATGTTGGTGACCTGGTATGTTGTGAGACAGGTGACCACATCAGCATCTTTACCAGCCTAGCCAAGTTTGAGAGACAGAGTACTGAGGAATCAGGAGTTTATTACTTATCCTGACCGTGGATGGTTAACTGCTCAGATACTGTATTATGCCTTAGTGATTATCCTAAACTTCTTCACCGTTCTTTGAAGACAGTCATATTATACAAATTTACAGATGGTGGTTTAATTCAGAAACAGATTTTTCTCTTTTAGCAAAAAGACAATCTTACACATTTATCTGTTTACCATGAGATTATCTTTAAGTCTTTCTGATTTTTAGCTGCTGGAAATGTTGCATATTTAACATCTCGAGCATACAGTAGTACAAGTTTTAATTTTGGGTCATGTGTTAGTATATCAAAACAGCAGGATAATTGAGGCCAATTTTCAGATAACATTTCAATCTTTATTACCCTTATAGCAGAGCAAGCCAATCTATCAGAATAATATTCATCGACTCTTAAGACAGAATGAGAGTTACTTTGCTAATTGAAGATGATTCTGAGAGTAAAATGCCTGATTATTATTCAACTTGAGAGCTATCTTTTTGAGTTAGAAAAGTTTTGGTCTATCCAAGATCCAGCCTGTCACAAAAGAAAAAACAACACAA